TCTGTTTGAGGGGTGTCAATTTTTACCCCCCCAGAAATTCTGAGAACCTTCCCAGGGCGTGGTAAAAATGTCCGTTTTGGGCCTCCCCCCCTCGCGCGGTCCATCAACAAGGAACAGTAAGCAGCAAGAAGTCAACAAGGAACAGTAAGCAGCAAGAAGCAGAAGTGTAACAGGGGAAACTGGAAGCTGCTCCTGGTAGAGGAAACTGCGAACCTTAGCCCTCCAGCCTGGTGGCCCCACAAGGGGGCTCGCCGATCGCTCAGCCAGATAGGCCGCCAAACGGATGGGGCACACGCACCCTCTCGCTGTCGGTCGTGCTGTCACATGTGCAGGCAAGTGTTTTGCACGCATGTGAGCTGCTGTAACACATCTTGAGACACCTCTGAGGTAGCCTTGCAGAAAAAAACGAATATATATATATATATATATATATAATATATATATAGACAGACAGACAGACAGACAGACAGACAGACAGACAGACAGACAGACTGACAGACAGACAGACATACATAGATACATACATGTGTGTGTATCTCCCAGATACGGTTACGTTCCCCGAGGTCCCATGAGGGCCTTTGCGCGGCGGCAGACCCCGTGGATATCCGCAGTCCTTTGGGCTTGGACGCCCCGGGCCCGAGGCCACCCAGGGCTTGGAGCGAGGAAGGTGTCGGAGCCATCGTTTCGAGCAACACGGCCCGCCCTCGGCCCAGACGTATTCCATGGCGGCCTGGCCCTCGGACTCGGCCACGGGCGGCTCCACGTGCGCCACGCCACGCCCGCTCTCGCCCTCGACCTCGGTCCCGAAGCCACCCCCCGGATACCTGCCTCACGCCGCCGCCTCCTTGGCGGCCTCGCCTTCGCATTCGGCTGCGGGGCGGCACCACGAGCTCCGCGCTGCTCGCGACGTCGATCTCGGTCCCGAAGCCGCCCTCGGTGCACGCCTCGAGGCCCTGCTCTACAGCGTGATCGAGCCGCCCTCGGACGTGATCGAGCTCGACAGCGTGGTCCAGCCGCCCTCGAGGTCGACGCCGTCGACCTCGATCACGCTGCCCTCGGCGACTTCGCCCTCGGACTCGACCACGAGCGGCTCCCGGAGCCTAGCGCTGCTCACGACGTCGACCTCGGTCGCAGTGCCGACCTCGACCCGACTGCACATGTCGCCGCCGTTGGACCACGCGCACTCAATAACATCCACCCAGTGGCCGCCCGCGAGGAGGAGGGACCCTCGGCCTCCTCGCACTTGGTCTGGACACCTTCGCTCGCGTCCTTGTGGAAGCACTCCGCCTCCGCGGGCCTGCGGACCGCCACCGCCGTCGCCAGGCGCCTGGCAGCCGCCCAGGGCCACCAGCCACGAGGGCCACCGGAGGCGAGGGGGGGACGCGGCCGCGGGGACCGACGAATTGCCGGATTTCTCGTCGCGCGCCACCACTCACGACTCGCCACCCCGCGCCCCCCCGCCGCGCGCCCCGAATGAAAACCCCACGCGGGAAGGGCGGCGCCGCTGAGCCAAACCTTGGCATCGCTCGGACGTGTGCATTTTTCCTTCGGCGAGGACAATCGAGGAGCATCCTTGATCATTTGGCGAAAAAACCGCGCACGAAACCGCAAAAGAACACAGGGAATGGACGTCCGAGCGATGGCGAGAAACAGGCTACTGAGCTCTCACCCCGTTTGGACCCCGCTCGGGGACGACCCCATCCAGGCGTCCCCTGCGGAGAGGTGCCAGGAGCCCCCCCCCCCCCAGGCGTTCGACGAGGTGAGCAGTGCAGCTGCGGGGGCAGGTGGCGGCAGGCATAAGGCGCCATCGGCAGGGGGCAGGTGACGGCCAGCGACAGGAAGCGTGAGCAGAGGGCGACCAGCATCCTGGCAGGCCTCCACCCCACGACGCGTCAGCCGCTCGACTGAGGTGTGGAGGTGCAGCGGGAGCTGGGAGAGCGGCGGGGCGGTGAGCGGGGCGCAGGCCTGACTCGTGCATTTTTATCGAGATGCTAATCTGGACGCTGCGCGCTGCCTCGCATTCGAAGGAATGGTAGTAGTTTGCCGCTGCTCCTACTGGCCCAGTACGGGCTGACTTCGTGGGCGCATCGGGATTACCCTGGGAAGCTGTCGAGACCGGCCTGGACCACATTTCGGTGCCGTCTGTGCTCAGCCCCGTGCATCTAAGCCTTCCTGGAGGAGCGGGGAGGGGGCAGGGGAGGGAGGAACCGAGATAGAGAAACATGATGAGGAGGCGGACGCGGAGGCAGGGGAGGAGGAGGAAGAGGAGGAGGAGGAGGATAAGATGCAGGATGCGGACGCGGAGGAATGAGAAGAGGAAGCGTAGCAAGAGGAAACGGAGGAGGAAGAGGAGGAGGAGGAGGAGGAGGAGGAGGAGGAGGAGGAGGAGGAGGGGGAGGAGGAGGAGGAGGAGGGGGAGGAGGAGGAGGAGGAGGAGCAGGAGCAGGAGCAGGAGCAGGAGCAGGAGGAGCAGGAGGAGGAGGAGGAGGCGGCCGCGGAGGCCAGCTTCGACGGGCTCGGGCCGCCGATGCGCAACCTGTCCTGGCCCGTGTTCGCCCAGGCCAGTGCGTCGAGGCCGACGCCGGGGGCCCGAATGTGAGAGCGACGGGGGGGGCAACGCAGCGGCACCGCCGCACATTACCGGCCTCGAACGTATCCCTATCCCTAAGGTTGACACGCCAAAAGGCGAGGACAATCTTAGGGATTCGCCCTCAAAAAATAGGGAAGTACCTGAGATTGCCATCGTGATGAGGAGGTGCCCAGCACAGGGATAGGGATATGGTCCAGGCTGGCAAACACAACTGATAGGGATAGGCTGTCGGAGGTGGACAGGCCTCCTCCCCTGACACGTCGATTAAGGAATTGGCCGTTTTCGGTTCGCGAGAGGGCGTCGCGGCCGTCATTTTTGCGGGTCCAAGTCCGTCGGCTTCGGTCCCAGGCCGTTTTCATTAAGGGGAGGCTTACTGAAGGGAGGTTTGTCCACCGCCGCACAAATGATTTGATCCTGCTTATAGCTGCCCCGATGCGCCCGGTTTGAACGCAAAACGCGTGCCGTTGTCAAGACGTGTGCGTGTTCACAGGCGGCGTGTTGGCTCGGCGTGTTGTGGCCCACGGTTGGGCGAACGCATCGGGACAGACTTTTACGTGCTCAGTCTGCGTGTTGAGCTCTGTGTCAATACGCTACGTGTCGCGTGCTGCGCATCGGGGCAGCTGTCGCAGGCTTAGAGGTTGGCACCAACACCAAGATCGGCGGTGTTCCTCCACCGAGGGAAGAAGACCCCGATCTCGGTGATGGTGGTAATATTCTGGCTTCCAAGGTGGCCGAAATATTACCACCAACACCGAAATCTAGGATCACCTTCCCCCTGTGGAGGCAGCCCTCTGTCTTGGTGTTGGTGCCCATTTCCAGGCCTCCCAAGCTGAGGGATCCTGGCATGGAGGGTTTTCGCTGGTTCTCTGGCGCGTTCGGCCTCTGGGGCGCTCCCCAGTTTTGGGGGTCTGGGGCTGTCAGGGAAACGGCTCGAGATTTAGCGTCGGCCCCGGGGGAAGCCCGGCGGCCCAGGGGCGCTTCCCCCGTGGCACCTCACCTCCATGTTGCAGAGGATGCGGAGGCGCTGCACAGATAGTAGCGTTGCGTATATATGTGCCATCTCTCCTCCTTCGCGTCCTCCTCCGCAGTATGCATTCTCGCCAAATCTTCGATGACGTCAGAATTCTGTGAGAGACCCTTCTGAGGGGCCTGGGGGCACTCCACTCCGGGGCCTCGCGGCAAGGCGCCGGCTACTCTTTCGCGGGCCTCGCAGCCTCGAGCGTTGGGCGTTCCTGGGGTTCGTCGCGTGCCTCTTGGGGCCTGTCGCGTGACTTCTGGGGCTTCCGCCAACAACTTGTCGGAGGCCACCCGGCCCCAAAGCGGGGTCGAAGAAGGCTCCGCTGCTCCCCCGTGACAGTCCAAGAGGGTCCCGAGACGGTACAAAGAGCGCTCCAAGACGCAGAAGATAGCCTCAAGACGGCCCAAGAGGTCCCATATAGTCCCCGAGAAGGCAATTCAGGTTTGACATAATTATCAAGGTTTCGCCTTGTTTGGCGGCCGACGTTCCAGTTCAAGAGGACCCAAATAGGGCCACAAGACGGCCCAAGAGGACCCCAAGACGGTCTCAGAGGCTTCCAGCCCCAAGAGGGCCCCGAGAAGGTTCCAAGAGGGCCCAATCTTGGGAGCATGCACTGGCATGTTTCGCTGTCCGCCACAATCTGACACCCGAGGTCTCCCCCAACATGTCCCCATAAGGCTTCACAGGGCTCCAAGATGCTTTGAATGGGGCCACCAAGAGGCCTCCGAGAAGCCCCCAAGAGGCCCCAAGAGGCCACCACAGGACCTGCAAGAGGGGTCATCAGACATACACCGGCGTCACCCCAACATACTCATACTATATGTGCGTCGCCCCCTCAGGGTTCACGCGCGCACCGAGAAATATCATAGTATATGCGTCGTGGAAGGCGCTTTCTGGCCACGCCGCTCGGGAAACGATACGCTACAAGATGGGTAATTATACTATATGTTCGGGTCGGACGCGCGCCTCCGAGGGAGGTCATGTAGTATCAGTATGTCTCTGCGCGTCCCAGCACACGGTTCAGCACAGAGGACACTCCCTCGCGGCACGGCGGCAGATCTGCGCCAGCAGTTGCAGCAGTTCGGCCAGCGGGTCGTGGCCGGAGGGTCGGAAGTGGGCCGCCCGCCCCCGTTGGCTCGGTCCCTTCTCCCGTGAGAGTCCAATCTGGGGGGCCCCTTCTGGGTAGACTTCCGTCGGGCCTGTCCCTCTACAGGAGGAACATATTCCAACATAGTTTAAAAAATCGTCAGGGGATGTTTTTTTCTGCTATTTTGCCCATTTCTGAATTTTTGTTGTCAAAGTTTGATTTTTCGTCCAAAATCCGCCTGTAGTGAGACATGCCCGACCTAACCGTAGACGGGCTAACGGCGATGTAGGTTTCGGTATTGTGGGAACGCGTGGTTCGCGCTTTCCTACAATGCGCTGTGTCGTGCTCGCTCGATCCATTCGCAGATAGGAAATGCAGCGATGTCCTACAATTTGGTTACCAACATCACCGTTAAGCAACATCGCGGTTAGCCCTGCCCTGGCCTTCCTGCGAGAGTCCCATCAGGGGTGCCTCGAAGCTGCCGCGCTTCGTGTCGGAGGGGGACGTGCCCGTCGAGAAGACCGTCCTCGGCGTGCTCGACGACCAGCCTATGTGGTGAGCAGCTGCTTTCGGTGGCAACTCACGGGAGCCTCGTTCTCACCGCAGCTCCATCGTCAGAACCCACCAGCGTGCGCTGGCGTCTGGCAATCGACCCGCGCCGATCGCGCGTCGAGGCGCCGGGGCCATAGCGGAGAGACGGCACGGAAGGCTCCCGGGAGTTGCCGCCGAAGCTGCGCGGGGCGGGCCCGCGCTTCGGGCCGCGCCCGCCGAGCCCCGCCCGCGGCCCGCCCCGCCGAGGGTGCCACTCGTCCTGCCCGATTTTCGCACCCAGTTTTCCCGCAGCACGAGCTCCGCCCCTCGGCTGATGGGCCTGTTTTCCACCACCGCCACCACAAGTTGGAGGGGGGAGGGAGGTGGAGGAGGAGGAGGAGGAGGAGGAGGAGGAGGAGGAGGACCCCCTTCCCCTCCAACTTCTGGTGGTGGTGGTGGTGGAAGACAGGGCCATCATCGGTCCCTCCCTGCCGACGCCGTTGCTGGTGCTGCTGCGGGTGCTGCTGCTCCGGCGGCCCCCCCTGGCCTGGTGGTGTGGGCGCTGTCGAGGAGGGGCGGTGAGAGAGAGAGAGAGGGAGAGGGAGGGAGAGGGAGAGCGAGGGAGAGAGGGAGCTAGATGTCCACATCTTGAATACACACGGAATCACATATGTATAGACAGAGAGAGAAAGAAACAAGAAAAAAGAAACACACAACAATATATATATATATGTATATATATAACAGAAGGCGATATAGCGGGATAGATCTTGAAGGAGTGAGATTGCGAGATGAAGTGCGAGACGGAGGGTTACAGGAAACTCTTGCACCAGGCGGAGACACGATGATGCAGAGTCGTGTGTTGGCATGGGGCTTGTTGTTTCGCGGTGCGTCTGCACCTTATCTTTATACATGTCTGATTGCTTTGTTCCTGTTGCGTCGGTGTTCGTAATGCTCCACACATCCAGACTGGGTCTCTTGTTTTCTCTGCGCACCCCCGCGCAGGAACCTCACACCTCCCCCTTGTCGTCCTCCACATCACCATCACCCTCGCAATCATGACACTCGCCAATATCACTCACTGCATCATCTTCATCAACATCGGCATCAGCATCATCATCATTTCACAGCAGTTCTGTGTCAGGCACCTGCCGGTTCAGAGGCCATTGGGCTGCGCGCGCGGCTTCCCGCCCTCCATGGCGCTCTCCTTGCGGTGCTCCTTCTGCTCGGTGGTGGTTTCTGCTTCGCGGTTTCGCTGGATCGTGCAACAGCTGCAGGGCGGGCGGTAGTGCCGGGTGAAGCTGAACATTCCTAAAGACACGGTGGTTCTGCATGTGGTGTTGCTCGAGGCCATCGATGCGTAGGTGCAGAGTTTCTTCGCGATCGAGTTGCCTGCAGCGCCTTGAAGCGAACATCCTCCAGCACGTGACGGACCATGGGCACAGAAGACCTGCAGGTGACTCTTACACCAGCTTCCTCATCAAGCCTGCCTTAACCCCCCCCAGAGCAGGCCCTGCTGGCGATGACGGTGGCGGCCCTGGCGATGGTCCCGCTGACGCTGGCGGTCGCGGATGCCGTCCCCGACACTTCGGCGGACTCGGTGCTCCTGCTCTGCCCCGTCCGCGTGGCGCGCCGATCCGTGGCACTCTGGTGCGGGAGACCCGTGGTCGTCAGCTGGCTTGGCATCGCTCGGACGTGTGCATTTTTCCTTCGGCGAGGACTATCGAGGAGCATCCTTGATCATTTGGCGAAAAAAACACGCACGAAACCGAACAAAAACACAGGGAACGGACGTCCGAGCGATGGCCAGCTGGGCCTCCGCACAACGTTCCTCGACGTCATGGTGATGCACTGCCCACGGTGCCGCCGATCCCGTTCAGTGCCGGCGTTCCCTTTCGGCCTCGTCGTGATCATCTTCTTGTTTTCGCTTTGGCCGTCGCGCGGATCTACTGGGACACCGTGTGGACCTTCCTTTAGCTGAGTGTCGGCCCTTGCTTCTGAGGTGGGTCTTGCGCATACTCCTGGCGCTGAACGTCCTGCCGTTCCTGAGCAGCCGTGTGGCGGCGGGAAGGCGTCGCGGGCTGGCTCGCACTTCTCCCGGCGTCGGTGCCGTTCCCTCTCGGGCGGGAGTCGCGGCGCTTCTTCAAGACCAGCCCCAAACGTTCGCTTCGCACTTGGAATGCGGCCTCTCGCCGGTTCGCCCCAGGCGTCCTGAGGCGGGTTTTGCGGACTGGCGTTATGTCGGGCGTGACCCCCTACAGGGGGATTTTCGTCGAAAAATAAAAGATCCCTGAGAAATGCCCCAGAAAGGTAAAAACATGCCCAAAAAATAGTCCCCGGACTATTTTTGCATTTTTTTGGGATGCTTATTTGGGTATTTTTTTATTTTTCGTCGAAAATCCCCCTGTAGGGGGACAGGCCCGACTTAAGACTGGCGCTGATCGTCTCGACGCTCGTGAGTGACGGCGGTGGGCGCCGCGGGCTGGTTTGTTGCTTGTCCTGGAGCCGGGTCGCACACATCTCTCGGGCAAGCTCGCGGCACTTCCCCAAGAGGAGCTCGAGAACAGCGCTTCGCGTATGGCAATGCGGCTCTCCCGCCGACGTCTGATGGCACTGATCCTTCGAGGAGTCGGGCTGTGCGGTTCTCACCCGAGGCCGAGGAATTTTGGTGGGCGTGGATCTCGAGTTCTGACAGATCAGACTCCCGCTCGGTCTTTCCGAGGGAGCGATTCCGGCGGTTTCCCCTGCTTGCGGGAGGCGTGGCCTGGCCGATAGCGCGGGCTGCGCTGTCACAGGTGGCGCAGCACATCTCGGGTCACGGGGAGCGGCTCCGACGGTCTTCCCCCCCCATATGGAGGGAGGCACGGCCTTGCGGACGGCGCGAACAGCATCGTCCCAGGCGGCGCCGCGCACCTGTTCCGACGGCTCTTCCGGCGTGCGATCATCGTAGAATCAGGTCGGCTTCTTGGCAACAGACGCGTGTTGCCTGCGTGGTTGTTGCCTGTACGTTTTTGCCTTATCTTAGATATGTCGTCTGGTTGTCTGTCTGGGGCGAACTTCGGTGGTCGTGGTCTGCCTGCGTCCTGCGGGTGGCACGGCCTGCTGGGTCGCGCGAACGTTTGCATTGCCCCGGGTGACGCCGCATGCCTGGCCATCCCGTCTTCCGTGGCATGTTGAGGCCGAACGTAAAGCCGAGCGCTGGAAGCATCATCATCAGCACCTCACGCGCACTCGCGGATTCACTCGCGCTGACCCGCGTGCACGCTTGCTAATCACCATCACTGATCGCAATCACTCATCACCATACACACTCACACACCCACGTGCTCCCCGGGAGGGAGGTGTCGAGCGGGACCCCCCCTCAAGGTGCCCGCGCGTCGCGTTGGTAACTGGAGCGGGCCATCGGAATTACTCTTACCAGGCGCAGCATTTGAACACCCCGAGGGGGGCACATCGGGAGGATGTCTCAAGCAGGGGCCTCGTTTGTGAGCGCATTGCGAAAAAGCCTCAGGCGGGAGCCGCCCCCCCCCCGGGGGGTCCGCATTTCACGTTGGTAATCCGAGCGGGTCATCGGCAAAGTCTACCAGGCATGAATAGCGCTCGAGCGCCTCCAGGGGGCAAATCGTGCGGATGTTTCAACCGGGGGCTTTTTGTTGTGAGTGAAGTTCGAGGAAGTTTCATGCGGGATATCCGTCCCTATGGGGCCCGCATTTCACGTTTGGAATCCGGGCGGGTTATCGGCAAATTTTACCATGCATCGCACTTGAGAACCACGAGGGAGCAAATCGTGGGGATGTCTCAAGCGGGGGCCCGGTCTGGGAGTGAACTGCGAGGAAGTCTCAGGCTTCCCCCCCTATGGGCTCGCGCTTCATGTTGGCCATTCGAGCGGGCCGCCAGGAAAATTTGCCAAGCGTAGCACCTGAGCACCACGAGCCACATGGCGAAAGTCTCAAACGGGAGCCTCGCTTGTGAGTGAAAAACCGAAGAGGTCTCGTGTCTCTCTGGTGCCCACGCAGCGCAGGACGCGTTGCCGAAGCGGGCCAAAGCAGAGTTCGCCACTCTCGCCGCGCATTTAGGTTTCAAACTGGGCCCTGCGAGGTGCGAGGCTGACTGGGCGGAAGCAATGGCGAAACATTACAGCAGCGCTCGTCTGGGGTCCGAGCGCGATCCTGGTCTGCACATACGAGCTTGCGCCTGCAATACTTCTGTGGCTTTCGCGCTTTCTTATTCACGGCAGTTGTGCGCGGGTGGCGCACGGCAGCAGATTCATGTATTTCAAAGTCGTCGACCTCATTTCGAGTGGGACTCCGACGTGTCTCGGCCTGCGCGTGGGCCGCCAAGCGCAGCGTGGCTGGCGCAGTCGTGCAGGGCCACGCCGCCTTTTGCTGAGCAAGCGGTCCGGGCCCGTTGGAGCACGCAGCTCCCCGCGCGAGCGGACGCGCGGGCGAAGCGGCACTGCTCCTACGTCCCCGTAGCAGTGCGCCAGGCGGTCTGCCGCTCGACTCCGATCGGCCACCGGGTGTCCGGTGACCCGTTGGATCTGCGCAAGGCGATCCGACCGCGCCGGTTTGGGCCAAGGAAGGCGGACCCTCGCTTCCGCCGCATGCTCGCCAGGTGACACCTGGCATCGCTCGGACGCGTGCATTTCTCCTTCGGCGAGGACCCTCGAGGAGCATCCTTGACCATGTGGCGAAAAAGCCACGCACGACACCGAAAAAAGCACACGGAATGGACGTCCGAGCGATGGCGAGGGTGGCCACTTCCCGCTCCCATCGGCCGCTGCTCGCCGGACCTCTTCGAGGGGCCGAGCGGGTGGGCGCCGCCGCGCGCCGTGGCCGCGGCGCGCGGAGGGCGCAGGGGGATGATCGAAGGGCGCACGGCGCGCCCCGGTGCCAGAGTGTGGGGCGGTGCAGCTTGGGGTGCTCTTTGCTCCGCGCGAGGTTGCGCGGAGCACTACGCTTTAGGTCCCGCTCCGGCGAGGCTCAGACGTAGAGAGAGCTCTGCCTCCGGGGCGTGAGTTTGGAGAGC